GGGGTCCCGCTTAGCAGCAGCACGTGCTCTGCATGGAGAGCAGCAGCAAATGTCTTTCTTGTTATTCCTTTTGTGTTTTTAAGTCGTGAGGCTTCATCAACAACAAAAAGAGAGAAACGAAAGAAAGACAGAAAGGAAGCCTCCAGTGCAGCCAATTCGTAGCTCGTCAGCAGCACATCAAACGGCGCCTGAGCAGCAGCAGCAGCAGCAGCAGCAGCAGCAGCAGCAGCAATAGCAACGCAAGCAGCAGCAAGAGCGGCACATGCAGCAGCAAAACAACAGCAGAAGCAAACGCAGAAGCACAAGCAACGGGGACTGCACCAGAAGAGCAACGAATAGCTGCAATAGCTGCAGCAGCAACAGCAGCAGCAGCAGAAACAGCACAGCAGAAGCTCCAGCTAAAGGCAGCAGCAGCCAAGCTAAGCGCATGCGCAGCTGCTGCCGGGGCTTGTCAAAGAAGTAGACAAAGCGGAATAGACTCGTGTATCCTTGCGCCGTACCTGCTGCTGCTGCTGCTGCTGCTGGACTTGTGCGCGTATTGCTGCTCTTGTGGGCCCATCGCCAACAAAGACGAGCAACCGAAGAGGCGCTTCGCCGCTGCCTTTTGCTGCTGTTGCTGCTGCTGCTGTTGCTGCTGCTGCTGCCCCTTGCTGGCACCGCCCAGCTCGCTGCTGCTGCTGCTGCTGCTGCTGCTGCATGATGTTGACTGCCCCTAAGAATTCAGTGCAATGCCGCTCCCAAGAAGAGATGATGCTGAGGGGACAGACAATAAGAAGGGGTTTGTCTTTATAAAGGCGGCCCCCGTACTTGCGCAGGTGCAGATACACCGCAAGAGCCTGCAGCGTCTTCCCTAACCCTGAGCACAACCAGCAGCAGCAGCAACAGCAGCAGCAGCAACAGCAGCAGCAGCAACAGCAGCAGCAGGGGCATGTAATGGAGCAGACGTGGAGCACAGCAAAGGAAGCAGCAACAGCAGCAGAAGAAGAAGCAGCAGCAGCAGCATCGCAGTGCAGTGTCTGATGTTTCAGAACCAGAGTCAATTCGTGTTGCTGTTGCTGCTGTTGCTGCTGCTGCTGCTGCTAGTTACCCATATCATCGGCGACAATACAATTAAGGCTGGCCTTAAAGCGCTGCAGAATCCAAGCAGCTCCTTTCTTTTGATAATCATGAAGGATGCAGTTGCTGCCCTGCCGCTGCTGCTGCTGCTGCTGCTGCTGCTGCTCGTCAGTGTGCTGCTGCGGCTGCTGTTGTTGGTTTCTGGGGTGTCTCTGCAGCTCTGGGAGGCTTTCTATTTGCGAGACGAGTTTTGCAACAGAGGGCGACGCCTCAGCAGCCTCTGCTGCTGTTGCTGCTGCTGCTGCTGCGGGTGGTTCGCTGTCAGCTGCAGCAAGAACTGCTGCTTCCATTCTTTCTATAAGCTGCTGCACTTTCTCAGCATCTCCCCAATCGACTGTGCTGCAAGGCTCATTACCAGCAGCAGCAGCAGCAGCAGCAGCAGCCCATGGGTCCCTGTCTCTTGCTGCAGCAGCTGCAGCAGCTTTTGAGAGTTTCTTAGGGGGCCTCCATCGCTTTCGTTTGCTGCTGCTTGCCCCCTCCTCCTCGCTGCTGCTGCTCTGCACTGCATCAGAAGCTTCACCAGATTCAGGTGTCTCGCTGCTGTCAGCAGAAGATTCACTCATGCCGGAGGCCTCCTCAGACTCTCGAGAGCTGTCTTCTTGCAAAGCTCTCTTCCTGCTGCTGCTGCTGCTGCTGCTGTTGCTGCTGCTGCTGCTTTTGCTGCGGCTGCTAGATGAGGGGGGTTTAGCGCGGCGCCCCCGTGCGGGTCTACGGGGGCCCCTAGGGCCCCCCCTGGGGCCCCTAGCGCCCCCCTGTGGGGCCCCACACTCTTTAGGAGGGAAGCTACCCCCAGCTGCAGCAGAAGGGGGAGACGGGGGGGCCCCCGGGGTAGCTGGGGGCCCCTGGGGGCCCCCTTCTTCCCCGTAGATGTCGTAGAACATCGGTTAAAGTCTGTGAATAAGGGTTTAATTGAGTTTAATTCAATATTTAATCTTCATTTTATTTAAAATATTTATTAAAACAAGCAATAAAAGAAAGAAATATCTGCAAGGGGATGCTAAGGCTAGGAATGGGGCTGGGGGGCCCCTCAGCGCAACATCTTCTTAAATACACAGCTGAAATTGTTTATTAAAATATTAATAATAATAAAATTAATAATATTAATAATATTAATAATAATATTAATAATAAAATAATTAATTTGTTTTTATTTAGAGGCTTCAGCACTATCTACAACTTCCCTGTCTCGTACACATGAAGAGGGGTTGGTGTTATGCTGCGGTGTATGTACATCTATGCATGCATATATATATTAATATACTTACTAATAAAACTATGTATTAGTTATATATTAAATATAGTTTATTGAATATATTTTTATTATTTAGATATTAATAAATATATTTTGTTCTCTATGTGCAGTGGGACGGCCCTCATTCCGCACCAAGTATTATTTTTATTATGAGCATTAACAGATATATATAATAAAATATATAATAATCATAATAAACAACAAATAATTAATAATAGTATATTATATATAACTAATGCTATTCGGTGCAGATATAAACAGAAGAGAACCCTTCAATGCTTCAGTGTCTTTGCTGTCTTCAAGCACCACAATATACCTGTCATGCCCATTAAACAGCAGCAGCAGCAGCAACAGCAACAGCAGCAGCAGCAACAGCAACAGCAGCAGCAGCAGCAGCAACAGCAACAGCAGCAGCAGCAACAGCAACAGCAGCAGCAGCAACAGCAACAGCAGCAAGGTAAAGCTCAGATGCAAGAAGCACTTCAAGCAGAAGTCAGCAGCAAAACAAAAAATGCGGTGTCTGAAGAGAAGGAGGCCTCAGCGGGCCCCCACAGCTAGCTAGCTAGCTACACAGCTAGCCAGGTGACCCCCACATAGCTAGCTAGCTACCCAGGGAGCCCCCACACAGTAAGCTAGCTAGCCAGGGGGCCCTCACACAGCTAGCTAGCCAGCCAGGGGGCCCTCACACAGCTAGCTAGCTAGCTAGCCAGGGGGCTCCCACCTACTCAGCTAGCTAGCTAGCCAGGAGGCCCCCGCCCACTCAGCTAGCTAGCTGAGGCGTCGCCAGTGCCGGGGTTTTTACAGTTGGGGTTTTCTCTTTAAAGTACGAGGCGTTTCTACAGTAAAATATCATATAAATATATATTATATATTTTACTATACATACAAGTATATATATATATATATATATTTATAATGTATCCCTCACCCTGGTCTTGAGAGCTGCTAAGCTGTACAACGGCAGACGACCGTCTGTCTGTTGCAGGTGCTGTTGCTGTTGCTGTTGCTGCTGTTGTTGTTGCTGCTGCTGTTGCTGCATGCCTAGCAGCAGAACAAGCAGCAGCAGCAGCAACAGCAGAAGCAGCAGCGGGGCATCAGTTCCCAGCGTTTGAACAAGCGATCGTGTTGCTGCAGCAGAAGCAAAACCAAGGAGACAAACAAACAAAAGAGGAGACAGGAGAGTAAAGATACAAATACAGCAAAAACAACACCCCAGCAGCAAGCGAGCAGCAGCAGCAGCAGCAACAACAGCAGCAACTGGAGAAGCAGCAGCAGCAACACCAATAGCAGCAGCAGCAGCTGCAGCAGCAAAAACACCAGCAGAAAATGAGCAGCAGCAACACCAGCAGCAAATGCAGCAACAGCAGCAACAACAGCAACGGCAGCAGCAACAACAACAATAGCAGCAGCAGCAGCAGCAGCAGCAACACCAGCAGCAAATGCACCGTTTGCATTAAGTAATTGAAGGGAGGACGAAAGCATTCTTTGTCTCTTCTTCTTTTTCTTCTTCTTCAATATCAGCGGCCCTGCATGCGCATGCAGCACCTTCTTAAAGATAGCAATGAATATATTATTATTATTATTATTATTATTATTATTATTATTATTATTATTATTATTATTATTATTATAGACATTCTGTGTGTGTATTTAGGGTTGAGGTGTATCGACAGACATTCTTTTTGTTGCTGCAGAGATAACATGAAGAGAGCAAACCCGACAAAGAGGTTTGCTTCTACCTTGAACAACGCAAAGAAGATAATAAACCCCAACGCGGTGTATAGGCACCAAAGGAAGGCCTCCTAGCTGCTCCTCAGCCCACCAATCAGCACTCTCCTGCTGCTGCTGCTGCTGCTGCTGCTGCTGCTGCTGCTGCTGTGGGGGCGGATGCTTGCAAGAGATGAGCCTGACGTCGCTGGGCAGCAGATCGAGGCCCTGTTCTTCTGTTAATGTTTTTAAAATAGAGAGGGGTTCTAGAGGCTGTCGAAGAAGAATATTATCTGTCTCTTCTGTCTCTACAATAAACTGCAGCTTCAAACTCCTTACCCAGGACAGAGCAGCACCTCCATCGTCTGCTAGCAGCAACGCATTGCTGCTGTAAGACAGAGGAGACGCGTCAGATGTCTCAGCAACTCGTTCTTCTCCCTGCTGCTGCTGCTGCTGTTGTTGTTGTTGTTGCTGTTGCTGCTGCTGTTGCCGACGCTCCCGTTGCTGCTGCTGCTGCAGCTGCTGCATGCGCTGGTGAACAGCGTCTATGTTGCTCCAGGAAGCAGGTATTGCTGCTCCTGATCTCGCTAAGAAATGTCTGAAGAAGCCTCTCCTAACATACACGATCTGCCCAGCTGTACCGACACCCGAAACAGAGCGAAGCAGCACTACCAGCAAATAAGGATGAGGCACACGAGGGTATAGAACTCCTCGATGAATGTGCGGTTTTAGATGAGATATTGCGAAGCCCCTCCGCTCCCCTTTAAACCCCACAAACGAACCCTCAACTACTGGATTAACTATACGACGCCCGGAGCCCCACAACAAACCCAACGCCCCACCACCCCAGCACTCTCCACATGACAAGTCGCAGGATCTAGGGGACACACCCGATCCCCACCCCACATACGATCCCGATCCCGATCCCGACCCCACATACGATCCCGATCCCGATCCCAACGATCCTGATCCCGATCCCAACGATCCCGATCCCAACGATCCCGAACCCAACGAAGGCCAGCCGGGCCTTTGGGAAGGAACCGAAGGCAACCGAAGCGACGTTAAGCGCAGCAAAGACATCTTCTGTTTAAACGCCAGCAGCCTTTACTAACACTATCACCGCAGCAGCAGCAGCAGCAACAACAACAGCAAAAGCTGCAGCAGCTGCCGCAGCAGCAGCTGCTGCAGCGGTTACCAGCCCTAGCAGGTTAAAATGTCTTAAACTGCTATGCAGCAGGACGAAGGGAGAAGTAAGCTTCAAAAGCTGCAGCAAACAATGGGGGCCCCAGCAGCCGAGGCTTCGTGGGGCCCCCCCGATTCTAAGAATGTTTCACGGGGAGCATAGAGTATTTAAAATAAGCTTTTAAATATGCTTCGATATTTAAATCAATAAATGTAGCAGCAGCTTCACAAGCAGAAGCAGCCGCCTACAGCAACGCAGCCGACTGGGGGGCCCCTCAGGGGGCCCCTGCAGCGACAGAAGTTTATGAGAAGCGAATAAGAATTGGTGTGCAGTTGATAAGGAGATTGATGTAATTTAAATTAAAGAAGTTTTAATTTTTATTTAAACAGAGTCGGTCTTACGCCCACCTGAGGCACCCCTCTGCTGCTACCGTATCGGGAGGGGGGCGTCGAGGGTTTAGGGTTTAGGGTTTAGGGTTTAGGGTTTGGTGTGTATGAGGATCCCTTTATCAGTAGGAAGAGCGGCAGGACAAATACCCAAAGGTGTATACCATAAATCCTACACCTTCAACTCTAAACCCTAAACCCTAAACCCTAAACCCTAAACCCTAAACCCTAAACCCTGGGGCCTGAAGCCTGGACGGGTCCCGCGCTGCATCTTCTCTCCTACTTCTTTTTTGGGGGCTCTCCTAGGGACGCCTGCATCACGCTGCAGCAGCAACAGCAGCTGCTGCTGCTGCAGCCACTGCTGCAGGAGCAACAGCAACGTGAACCGCAGCAGCGGCATGAGAACCCGAAGCAGCAGCAGCAGCAGCAGAGTCCGACTAGCAGCAGCAGCAGCAGCAGCAGAAGTTGCCGGAGGCGCATCGCCAGCAACATAGGGAACAGTAGCAGCAGCATCCGGGAGGGCAGCTGCTGCAGTAGAAGCCCCAGGAACAGCAGCAGCAGCAGCAAATGAGCAAGATGACGCTGCTGCTACCGCTGCTGCTCAGCAGCTTTTGTCTGTGTGGAGTGGCTGATGCATCTTCTTTAAAGAGGACCCCTTTGGGGGCCCCTTCATCACCTGCTGCATTTATACTTGCTGCGGCTCCTCCCCTGCAGCTCCATCAGACGGGAGCGCAACCTGCTGCAGCAGCAGCAGCAACAACAACAGCAGCAACAACGGCAAGAGCAGCAGCCGCCGATGCGTCGTCCGCCTCAGGAGCCATTGCTGCTGCTGCTGCAGCAGCAGCAGCAGAAGCAGCAGCAAATGAAACGTCAAGGCCTGCGAGTGTGCCGGTGGGCAGCTTAGATGCCATGGAGTGAGTTCAGCTCATTTTTGCTGCTGCATCTGCTGCTGCTGCTGCATCTGCTGCTGCTGCTGCTGCATCTGCTGCTGCTGCTGCATCTGCACTTGCTTTTGCAGCATCTCCTGCTGCTTGCGTTTATGGTTGAGTTGTTATACTGTTATGTTTCTTTTGCTGCTGTTGGGGTGTATAGGGAGGCCTTGAGGCGGGCGGAAGCTGCAGCAGAGGGGGCCCCTCAGGGGGCCCCCCATTTGTGGGGTCGCCCGCGGTGTCTCGGCATCTTCGGGTGTACAGGCAGCATAGGGCGTCAGGCATTGGAAGTGTGTCGTCAATACCCTCACTTATTTAAAGTCTCAGTGCTGGCAGCAGCAGGGACAGCGCTGCAGCTGCTGCTGGAGCAGGCCCTTGAGTTCAGGTGATGCTGCTGTTGTTGCTGCTGCTGCTGCTTCGCCCGCGCGCTGCTGCTGCTTTCACTCGCTGCTGCTGCCGTTGCTCGCGTTTGGTGCTGCTTCAACTGCTGCATGCTGTTGCTATTGCTGGTGGTTCTGCTTCCGCGTGGTTCTGCTGCTTCCGCTGCTGCTGCTGCTGCTGCTGCTGCTGCTGCTGCTTCATGTTTCTTTGTTTGGTGTCTGTGTTATTTACTCCCGCCCCACAGACCTCAGCTAATTGTAGTGGAGACAGCTGAGCGTGCGGAGGCCCTTCGCGGCATGCTAAAAGAAGCTTCCAGGGCCCCCTCTAGCAGCAGCAGCAGCAGCAGCAGCAGCAGCGGGCGGTTGGTTGGCGGGGCATCTGTAGGTGCAGCAGTGCATGCAATGCCTACCGTTGTTTACGGGGAGGAGGCGCTCGAAGCTGCAGCAGTTCTTCAAGAGGTGCAGTGTCTGCTGCTAGCAGTCTCTGGGTTTAAAGGCTTAGGGCCTGCATTAGCAGCACTGAAGGCAGGCAAAGATGTTGCTCTAG